ACCTATTTCCAGGTCCCCTCTGACTCTCTGTCAGACTGATCCAGACACTATCAATGTTCCTGTTTAATTCAGTGAGGAAATTATGTTGTTGAGAAAGATAAAGAAGTAAATTACATGTGAGTATTAATTATTTACCTGATTCATAAGTCTCCCTCTCTCTCTCTCTCTCTCTCTCTCTCTCTCTCTCTCTCTCTCTCTCTCGCTCGCTTTCTCTCGCTCTGAGTGCTGGTCTCCTGGTCCATTATTAGGAGCAGTGTCTGCTGTCTCTTCTCTCTTGGTGCTGGTCTCACCGTCTCTCAGGGTGTCTGTACTGATGTAGATATCCACAATCTTCTCCTCCAACTCATTTCTGTCAAACTTGACCTTCTTGGTCATATCTGGCTCGCCATAGATCTCCTCAGACATCTTCAACAATGTATTTTGACTATAGCTACAGTGCCTTAAAGTACGCTAGACAAATCCGCCGGTTCAGAAAAGTATTTCTGTCTCTGTATGAAGCTGACTGCTTTTGACCCTGTTGTAGGTGGAGGTTATTCCCAGCACACAGGAAGTATCAAATATCAAAAGAGAAAGATAACAGCAACGTTTACATGGATTTGTGGAACAGAAACATGTCCTGGCTGGTTAGAGTTGGGACACTATCTTCTTCTTCTTTCACCTTTTGATCTGATTCCTGAGTAACTTCCTGGTCTACTGGGGGAAGTTCCACCCACATACACCAGGTACACACACCCTCTTATATGGACCTTCTTGGTCATATCTGGCTTGATATAGATGGCCTCAGACATCATCTCCAACACAGTACTGTGTTTTCTGTCTAACAGGTCTATGTTAAGTCTACCCAGGTTCTTTAGATATTTGTACCTCTGCCCTGTGTCTGTTCGTGTGCCTTACTGTAAGTGACACTGTTTTAACTGATGAGAAACTGTGAAATCAACACATCACTGGCCACGTGACTCCCCCCACTTTAGCTTCTAATGGAAACATGTTTGTTTCCCACCGTGCACATCTGTTTTAAACATACAGTATGATTCAAGATATAATTGAAGTGATCATCTATTTTAGCAGATAAAATATTGGACCCTCTGAATTCACACATAGATCTAATAGCATTACTGAAGCTTTGACTCCCCAGCCTTCAAACAGAGGTCACGTTATGGCTTGTTCTCTGTGGCCAGACACCGATTTCGTCACATACACCACCAATGGCCTTACGCCATATAGGGAGGGGCCTTTTATCTATCAATGCTGTCAGTGTGTGTCATCAGTGTGAAGAGTTATTCAGAAGCGTGTGTGGGAAATCTATTCTTGCATCTTTCTCAGATGTTTTAAACTACAGTACTGCTCTGCGCTCTGTGTGTGTCCAACTGCAGATGACACTGTTTTAACAATCCAATCACATTCAATCAGGAAGCTGGCTAAGGGACATTGTTCCTTTATTACTTTACTTTGTTCTTATGATAAAAGCCATTTATGCTAATAATTGAATATGAATAAATAATCAACATATAAAATAACAAAAAATAAGAATAAACCTATTGCAAATTATATTACATTTACATTTGAGTAATTTAGCAGACGCCCTCATCCAGAGCGACTAACATGACGTGTTGCTAATAAAAACTATTAATACAAGCATTTTACAGAGTGCATGTCTACATACTCTCCTCTAAATCTAAACATATTTATTTTTTATTAGTTTTATTCTCTTAATGTTCTTCTTCCTCCTCTGACAGTAACGCTATATCTCAATTAGTCTTTACTAGATTACTCTCCTCCTATCTCCTGTCCTCCTATCTCCTCTCCTCCCATCTCCTCTCCTCCCATCTCCTCCCATCTCCTCTCCTCCCATCTCCTCTCCTCCTTCTCAACCCTATTAGAGGAGAAAGTCCAAGGTCCCTCCTCTTGGACCATATTTTCCAACTCGTTTTGAGAAGGAGGCGAGGAGGAAGGATAGGAGGAGGATTGGAGGAATGATGAATTGAGAAAGTGACCATAGGCAAGTCTGTAATACCACTTTTTCACCTCTATGGCGAGTTCGTCTCTCACTTTAACCACTAGGTGCTATCATCCCTTAACCATTCAGTACTGTATCCAACCATCAACATTAGAACTACTAGACACTACCAGAGAGATAGAGAGAAGAGAGAGAGAGAGAGAGAGAGAGATAGAGAGAGAGCTGATAGATGATAGAGATAGCTAGCGATGAGACATCGAGCATATAGATAGCTAGAGCTCTATAATAGAGCGTCTCTGCTCTATCGTCTCTCGCATAGTCCTCTCTCGATCGTCTCGCTCTCTCTCTATCTTCTTCAGCTCCCCTCTCCCACGCCGTCACCCATCAACACAGTGTCTCAACCACTATTTAGTACTGTGTGATTGGTTTCCTCAACAGACCATTGTTGTTTAACACTGGTCCATCCTTCCTTTTCCAACTCTCAATGGGTCTGTTTGCTGTCTGTGAGATCTCAACACAAGCCACCTTGTCATTCAAGTTATTTTGTATCCCTTCCAACCAATACCTATAAACCACACAGAGAATCAGATTTGAAAATCATCCAATACAACATAGAGAATCAGTCAGTTAGCCTCATCACCAGGCTCAATCACAAAAGTTTGAGATAGAGACAGGGACAGAGACAGAGAGAGACAGAGAGCGAGAGAGAGAGAGAGCTGGCTGGGGACGAGATTACCGGACCGTAAAGATTAATACAACAGAGAAACAGATAGTAAAAGCAATCCAGAACACTCAATCACTCACATAGTTGTAAATGGTGTTTTGCCAACCCACTGCCAGATTCCGTCTTTTTTTAACCCCCCCGTTGTCCTAGGGTCAAAATGACCCGCCACTGTGTTGAACCAACTTTATTTAATAATTTTTATATTTTGGGGATCATTTGTGAGAAGGAGGCAGTGAGACTTTAAAGAAAGTTTTATTTTATTGTGTTATCTGACAAAACTGCACATTTTAGAGTGGCCTTTTATTGTCCCCAGTACAAGGTGCACCTGTGTAATGATCATGCTGTTTAATCAGCTTCTTGATATGCCACACCTGTCAGGTTTTGGCAAAAGAGAAATGCTCACTAACAGGGATGTTAACAAAGTTGGGCACAAAATTTGAGAGAAATAACCGTTTTGTGCATATGGAAAATTTCAGGGATCTTTTATTTCAGTTCATGAAACATGGGACCAACACTTTACATGTTGCATTTATATTTCTTTTCAGTATAATTTCATTCAAACTTGCGTTTCTGAGAGGAAATATATTTTATAAATTGACAGTGACATGAACATTGGTGATACAGTTGGTTACACATGTTGAATACTAATCAGAGAAGTAGATGATAATAAAAAAACAGTAGTATTATAGTATTACTAATGTATTATCTATTACCTGTTCTTCGCTGCTGGTTATAACAACCAACTCTCCACCCATTGTTCTGCACTCCTTCTGACTGCCCCCAGATGTGTTCATCGTGGAGGAGAGATAATAACAGCTGGTGCCAAACTTCCACCATCCATCCAGACAGGGTTTCTCACAACAAAAAAGTCTAAAAAGATACTATATCTCGTCTATATACTAAATGAAATGATTGAACTGCACTCACCATATAACCCAGTTGGTCTGCAGCTTGTTTTTCTCTTTAGTCAGGGTGTTGTAGCTGGTCTCTAGCTGGTCTCTAGCTGGTCTTGCTCTTAATCAGGGTGTTGTAACTGGCCTGTATCTGCATTCTCTCTTCAGTCAGGGTGTTGTAACTGGCCTGTATCTGCATTCTCTCTTCAGTCAGGGTGTTGTAACTGGCCTGTATGTGCATTCTCTCTTCAGTCAGGGTGTTGTAACTGGCCTGTATCTGCATTCTCTCTTCAGTCAGGGTGTTGTAACTGGCCTGTATGTGCATTCTCTCTTCAGTCAGGGTGTTGTAACTGGCCTGTATCTGCATTCTCTCTTCAGTCAGGGTGTTTGTAACTGGCCTGTATGTGTAATTCTGGCCTTGTATGTGCATTCTCTCTTCAGTTCAGGGTGTTGTAACTGGCCTGTATGTGCATTCTCTCTTCAGTCAGGGTGTTGTAAACTGGGCCTGTATGTGCATTCTCTCTTCAGTCAGGGTGTTGTAACTGGCCTGTATGTGCACTTCTCTCTTCAGTCAGGGTGTTGTAACTGGCCTGTATGTGCATTCTCTCTTCAGTCAGGGTGTTTGTGTAACTGGCCTGTATGTGGCATTCTCTCTTCAGTCAGGGTGTTGTAACTGGCCTGTTATGTGCATTCTCTCTTCAGTCCGGGTGTTGTAACTGGCCTGTATGTGCAGTTCTCTCTTCAGTCAGCGGGTGTTGTAACTGGCCTGTATGTGCATTCTCTCTTCAGTCAGGGGTGTTGTAACTGGCCTGTATGTTGCATTCTCTCTTCAGTCAGGGTGTTTGTAACTGCCTGTATGTGCATTCTCTCTTCAGTCAGGGTGTTTGTAACTGGCCTGTATGTGCATTCTCTCTTCAGTCAGGTGTTGTAACTGGCCTGTATGTGCATTCTCTCTAGTCAGGGTGTTGTAACTGGCCTGTATCTGCATTCTCTCTTCAGTCAGGGTGTTGTAACTGGCCTGTATGTGCATTCTCTCTAGTCAGGGTGTTGTAACTGGCCTGTATCTGCATTCTCTCTTCAGTCAGGGTGTTGTAACTGGCCTGTATGTGCATTCTCTCTTCAGTCAGGGTGTTGTAACTGGCCTGTATGTGCATTCTCTCTTCAGTCAGGGTGTTGTAACTGGCCTGTATGTGCATTCTCTCTTCAGTCAGGGTGTTGTAACTGGCCTGTATGTGCATTCTCTCTTCAGTCAGGGTGTTGTAACTGGCCTGTATCTGCATTCTCTCTTCAGTCAGGGTGTTGTAACTGGCCTGTATGTGCATTCTCTCTTCAGTCAGGGTGTTGTAACTGGCCTGTATGTGCATTCTCTCTTCAGTCAGGGTGTTGTAACTGGCCTGTATCTGCATTCTCTCTTCAGTCAGGGTGTTGTAACTGGCCTGTATGTGCATTCTCTCTCTGTTGAGTCGTGATGACCAATGACTCCATCTGTAAACTACCACACCATTGATGATTCAATATTATTAAGTAGGCTACTTAAGTCTCAGTGACAACATACTAAACTTACAGTAGACAGACAGGCCTTTGATGCCAGCCAGTAGGAGAACACACAGCAGCCCCAGACACACTGCAGGAACTCCAGAGGGTCTCTTCCACCACTGAACATGAACTGAATCACAAATTATTCAAGTAAGAACTTTGGTAATATGTTTTACCGCATCATCCAGGATTGGGGAATAAAAGCTATAGTACTACAGAGTGATCTCACCTTTGTAATGTGTTTGTGGTGTGTGTATGTGTGTGTGTGTGTGTATGTGTGTGTGTGTGTGTGTGTGTGTGTGTGTATGTGAGAGCGTGCAATCTTACCTGAAGCAACAACTCCATCTCTTGGACTGGGCTTGAAGGCTCTTACGTTGGCATATAATTGGCCATCAATGTCTGTGTTCTTCATTGCATCAGGCTCGTCATCTTCAAATCCATCTGTTTTCATAGACTCTCTCTGACATCTTAACACACTTGTGGTCAAATACAGTAACTTCTACTTCTTACCTCAGCTCTAATATACGTCTGTACCTGTGTCTTCTCCCTGCACTGTCCTGCGTCTGTGTGACACTACTTTTTAAACTGCCAACCACAGTGAAGGGGAAACTGTCAAGTCAACACATCACTGGCCACCACATGACTCCCCCCACTTTAGCTAATGGAAACATGTTTGTTTCCCACCGTGCACATCCGTTTTTAAACACTTCAAGATATAATTGAAGTGATCATCTATTTTAGCAGATAAAATATTGGTCACTCTGAATTCACACATAGATCTAATAGCATTACTGAGGCTTTGACTCCCCAGCCTTCAAACAGAGGTCACGTTACGGCTTGTACTCTGTGGCCAGACACCGATTTCATCACGTACATCTCCAATGGCCTTACGCCATATAGGGGCCTTATTTTTCTATGTATGCTGTCTCTGTGTGACATCAGTGTGAAGAGTTATTCAGAAGTGGTGGGGGAAATCTATATCTGGATCTTTATCAGAGGTTTAAAAGGGCAACTTTACGTGTGTGTGGGTGTGTGTGCGTGTGCCTGCGTGTGGCGTACAGTGTGTGGGTGTCCTCTCAGTACCGTTCTGCCCTCTGTCTGTGTCCAACTGCAGGTCACACTGTTTTCCGTATCTAATCACATTCAAGCAGGAGGCTGGTTGTCACAAGTGTAGAGAGGAGTAGGCAGTCGCAGGTTTAGAACTACTGAGCCAAAGCGAAGGCTGGTGTGACAGTGCACCCCCCCGAGGTGCTGCTCCAGCAGCGGGGCGCAGCCGACCTTGGGTACGACCCCGGAGACACGGTCCTGGACGTCCCACGCCGGAACCCAGCACCGCTCTTCGCGACCGTACCCCTCCCAGTCAACCAGGTACTTGAGAGACCCCCCACGACGCCTTGAGTCCAGCACTAGCCAAGGGACCAGCTGCCACCGGCCTGAGGAGAGATACATGAAATGAGGGTGAGATACGGTAATTGACGGGGAGCTATAATCTGTACGTCACCTCATTGATTCTCCTCAGGACTTTGAACGGCCCTACAAACTGCGGGCTCAGCTTCCGGCAGGGCAGGCGGAGGGGCAGGTCCTCATCGCCACAGGCCAGCTCAGTCTGGACATCCGCCTGTAGCCTGCTGAGGAAAACACAGCCACCGTCCGGAAATCCAGAGCGTACTCAGATGCTGTCCTGGACCTCTGGCGCAGACGGAGGAGACTCTCACCTCCCTCTCGGCCTTCTGTTGGGTGGTCGAAAATGGCACGGAAGAGTTGGGTGAAGTGCTCATAGGACTGTACTTCTGGACCGTCCCTCTCCCAGATGGCGTGCGCCCACTCCAGAGCCCGGCCTGTCAGCACTGAAATCACCAATACCACCTTGTCCCTCTCGGAGGCCGTCCCGGCATTACATGCAAGATGGAGGTCACGCTGCAGGAGAAACCCACTACAGTGAGCTGGTGTGCCATCAAATCGCTCCAGGAGGGACAGGTGGACGTTGCTGTTAGGACCGAGTGATGTAGATGGTGGTGGGGTATCGTGTCCGACCGAGGTCCCCAGTTCACGTCCAAGGTTTGGAAGGCGTTCATGGAACGTCTGGGGGTCTCGGTCAGCCTGACCTCTGGGTTCCACCCCGAGTCAAATGGACAGGTGGAATGAGTAAATCAGGATGTGGGTAGGTTCCTGCGGTCCTACTGCCAGGACCGGCCGGGGGAGTGGTCGGTTTTCTTGCCATGGGCAGAATATGCCAAGAACTCTCTCTGCCACTCCTCTACTAACCTAACACCATTCCAATGTGTTTTAGGTTACCAACCTGTTCTGGCACCGTGGCACCAGAGCCAGACCGAGGCTCCTGCGGTGGATGACTGGTTTCGACGCGCGGAGGAGATGTGGGACGCTGCCCACGTTCACCTCCAGCGTACCGTGCGTCGTCAGAAGGCCAACGCTGACCATCACCGCAGTGAGGCTCCGGTCTTCGTACCGGGGGATCGGGTCTGGCTCTCGACCCGGAATCTGCCCCTCCGCCTGCCCTGCCGGAAACTGAGCCCGCGGTTTGTGGGGCCGTTCAAAGTCCTGAGGAGAATCAATAAGGTTACGTATAGGTTGTTACTCCCCCCTGATTACCGTATTAACCCCTCGTTTCATGTGTCTCTCCTCAGGCCGGTGGTGGTTGGTCCGCTCCATTAGTCTGAGGTGCGGGAGGTTCCTCCACCTCCTCTGGACATCGAGGGGGCCCCGGCGTACTCTGTCCGTGCCATCCTGGATTCGAGGCATCGGGTGTGGGGTCTTCAGTACCTTGTGGAGTGGGAGGGTTACGGTCCGGAGGAACGGTGCTGAATCCCGGTGAGGGATATCCTCAATCCCTCCCTATTGCGGGATTTCCACCGTCGCCATCCGGCTCGCCCTGCTCCGCATCCTCCTGACGTCCCCGAGGCCGGGGTCGGCGCTGCTGGAGCTGCGCGTCGGGGGGTGGGGTACTGTCACGACTTCGGCCGAGGCTGCCTCCCCTCCTTGTTCGGGCAGGCTTCGGCGTTCGTCGTCACCGGAGTACTAACCACTGCCGCCCCAATCATCATCACAATTGTCTTGTCTTGTTATCACACACCCCTGGTTCTAATCCCCTAATTAGTCTGTGTATAAGTGTTCCCTCTAGCCCCTTGTCCTTGTGGGGTGATTGTTTATTGTGGAGGTTAGTGAAGCTCGGTGGAGCTCGTGTATTTTGTTCGACGGGAGCTTGGCACACCTGTATTTGGGGAGTTTCTCCCATTCTTCTCTGCAGATCCTCTCAAGCTCTGTCAGGTTGGATGGGGAGTGTCGCTGCACAGCTATTTTCAGGTCTCTCTAGAGATGTAGCTCAGCTGGTAGAGCACGGAGCTTGTAACGCCAAGGTAGTGGGTTCGATCCCTGTGACCACCCATACACAAAAAATTAATAATGATGCACGCATGACTGTAAGTCGCTTTGGATAAAAGCGTCTGCTAAATGGCATATTATTATTATTATGTTCGATCGGGTTCAAGTGCAGGCTCTGGCTGGGTCACTCAAGGACATTCAGAGACGTGACGCTTGGCATTCAGGCCAAAGAGTTCAATATTGGTTTCATTAGATCAGAGAATCTTGTTTCTCATGGTCTGAGAGTCCTTTAGGTGCCTTTTGGCAAGCTCCAAGCGGGCTATTAGGTGCCTTTAACAGAGGTGTAGCTTCCGTCTGGCCAGATTGGTGAAGTGCTGCAGGTTCTCCCATCTCCGCAGAGGAACTCTGGAGCTCTGTCAGAGTAACCATCAGGTTCTTGGTCACCTCCCTGACCAAGGCCCTTCTCCCCCGATTGCTCAGTTTGGTTCCAAACTTCTTCCATTTAACCCTTGTAGGGTGTTAAAATTCAAATCAAATCAAATCAAATGTTATTGGTCACATACACGTGTTTAGAAGATGTTATTGAGGGTTTTAGCGAAATGCTTGTGTTTCTAGCTCCGACAGTGCAGTAATATCTAACAAGTAATATCTAACAATTTCACAACATATACCGAATTCTCACAAATCTAAGTAAAGGAATGGAATTAAGAATATATAACTATATAGATGAGAAATGTCAGAGCGGCATAGACTAAGATACAGTAGAATAGTATAGAATACAGTATATACACATGAGATGATTAATGCAAGATATGCAAACATGATTAAAGTAACATTATTTAAGTGACTAGTGCTCCATTTATTAAAGTGGCCAGTGATTTTCAAGTCTGTATGTAGGCAGCAGACTCTCTGCTAGTGATGGCTATTTAACAGTTTGATGTCCTTGAGATAGAAGCTGTTTTTCAGTCTCTCGGTCCCAGCTTTGATGCACCTGTACTGACCTCGCCTTCTGGATGATAGCAGGGTGAACAGGCAGTGGCTCGGGTTGTTGTTGTCCTTGATGATCTTTTTGGCCTTCCTTTGACATCGGGTGATGTAGGTGTCCTGGAAGGCAGGTAGTTTGCCCCCGGTGATGCGTTGTGCAGACCGCACCACCCTCTGGAGAGCCCTGCGGTTGTGGGCGGTGCAGTTGCCGTACCAGGCGGGGATACAGCCCAACAGGACACTCTCAATTGTGCATCTGTAAAAGTTTGTGAGGGTTTTAGGTGAGAAGCCAAATTTCTTCAGCCTCCTGAGGTTGAAGAGGCGCTGTTGCGCCTTATTCACCACAATGTCTGTGTGGGTGGACCATTTCAGTTTGTCAGTGATTTGTACGCCAAGGAATTTGAAACTTTCCACCTTCTCCACTGCGGTCCAGTCAATGTGGATAGGGGGGTGCTCCCTCTGCTGTTTCCTGAAGTCCACAATCATCTCCTTCGTGTCTCCTGAGTGGTGCAGTGGTCTAAGGCACTGCATCGCATTGCTAACTGTGCCACTAGAGATCCTGGTTCGAATCCAGGCTCTGTCGCAGCCGGCCGCGACCGGGAGACTCATGGGCGGCGCACAATTGGCCCAGCGTCGTCCAGGGTAGGGGAGGGAATGGCCGGCAGGGATGTAGCTCAGTTGATAGAGCATGGCGTTTGCAACGCCAGGGTTGAGGGTTCGATTACCACGGGGGGCCAGTATAAAAATAAATAAAAAATATTCACTAACTGTAAGTCGCTCTGGATAAGAGCGTCTGCTAAATGACTAAAATGTAAAATGTAATGTAAATGTGTTGTAGAAGTTGAGTGAGAGGTTATTTTCCTGGCAGCACACTCCCGGAGCCCTCACCTCCTCCCTGTAGGCTGTCTCGTCGTTGTTGGTAATCAAGCCTACTACTGTTGTGTCGTCTGCAAACTTGATGATTGAGTTGGAGGCCTGCTTGGCCGCGCAGTCATGGGTGAACAGGGAGTACAGGAGGGGGCTGAGCACGCACCCTTGTGGGGCCCCAGTGTTGAGGATCAGCGAGGTGGAGGTGTTGTTTCCTACCTTCACCACCTGGGGGCGGCCGTCAGCAAGTCCAGGACCAATTGTACAGGGCGGATTTCAGACCCAGGGCCTCGAGCTTAATGATGAGCTTGGAGGATACTATGGTGTTGAATGCTGAGCTATGGTCAATGAACAGCATTCTTACATAGGTATTCCT